ATTAAATAAAGCTTAAAGAAGGCTTAAAAAAGAAAGATAAAATATAAGAAGAAACTAAATATAATATTTTAATTAAGGAAGAGAAAATTAGTTAATAAAAAAAGAAGCTTTTTTATAATATTCTTTTTTCAAATAATTATTATAAATTCGGAACTAGTTTTATATTAAAAAAGCCCAGAAATTTTTAAAGAAGAAATTTATAAATAAACTAGAAAATTAAATTAACTTTTCTAAGCTTTTAGGCTAATAAAGTAATAATTAATTTATAAATAGAAGCTAAAATAGAATTTATAAACTAATTAAAAAATTAGATAAACTTTATATCTAATAATATATATTATATTTATATTATTTTTATAAAAGGAAATTACTAAAAGCAATTTATAAATTATTTAATTAAATTTAATAAACTATATTTTTAAATTTATTATTTAGTATAATAATAAGGCAAGAAATTAAAAACTAAAGAAATTTTAGAAAATATATCTAAATCTATTTATAGTTTTTTAAGGCCTCTTAAAAATAAGGGCCTAAAGAAAGAATTAATATAATAAATATATATATAATAATATATAAATAAATATTAGATATTATAAATCTAGTTTTCTATTTTAAATAAAGCTTATATTAAAATAATATAAATTATATAGAATTTCATTTCTTAATTAAATAAAGAGCTTTATATTTTTAACTAAATACTTGAAAGTATATAAAGAAATACTTTTAGTTTTAGAAAGAGGTATTAATTAGTTTTTTATTAGAATTAATTCTTAAAAATTAGTTATATTTATAAGTATTACTTTAAAGCTTACTTATTTTAATTACTTATATATTACTTTATTATTATATGCCTTATAAAAGTACTAAACTAGAATTTACTAATATAAATAAAGTTTATTATACTAATTCAAAATATATTAATTTTATTTCTATATTATAATAAATCTCGAATTATACTTTTTATAAGGCTTATAATACTAGAACTTATATATATTATAAAATACTAGTATATAATAAAGGGTATTTAGTTAATAAAGTAAAGTAAAGCCTTATTAATTTTGTAAATAAATAAGACTAAAAATCCTATTTTAAATATAATAAAATAGTATTTTAATATAAGAGCTATAATTATATAATATAAGTAATATTTATTATTATTTATTATATAAGAACTAATTCAAATTATAATTATAAATATAATATAAAATAAAATAAATGCCTTTAATAATAACTAAATATTAAATCTATTTAATTAAAGAATTTAGCTAATTATTAATAAAGAAATATTAGAGCCTTTAGTATTTACTATTTATTAATAATATATAATAGCTATAAAAGAAAAGCTATAAATAAATTATAAGTATAATTATAATAGTAAGTTTGTTAAACTAATAGAATTATATTATAATAAGATTTATAAGATATATAATATAAAAAATTATAAATTCAAGGTTCTCTAATCTATTATTATTAAAAGAAATATTATTATTCGTATTAATATTATATATAGGAAAGGCAAGTATAATAATAAGTACTAAATACTAGTAATTATATACTTTATATTAATCTTTTTAATAAATAAATCTTTTTAATATTTTATTATATTAGATATTATTCTCTAATAATGTCTATAATTATTTATAAATTTTATATTTGAAATATTAGTAGAATTATAACTAATATTATTTAAAGTTAAAATTCGTTATAGATTTAATAATAGTAAAGTTAATTGCTTTTTCTATAATAATATTTTATTTATTCTTTATTTCAATTTCTTTCTTAAGCTTCTTTCTCTCTTTTGCCTTATTTGCCTCTTTTTCCTATAAGTATCTGAGGTTCTTATTAAATATATCTTCTTTTTATTAATAGTATATCTTACTCTCGAAATCTATATTAGAAATATATAGTTTAAGACTATATTTCTTATTATATACTAGCTCTGCCTTATCTGGCTCGAATGGTTTACTGTACTATATAGTATTAAGAATATAGTATAGGATATACTCTAGATATACTTTATTCTTGGGTTCGGAATAGTTTTTAATAAATGAAATTACGAATATAGTTATCTTATTCGCGAACTTTAATAGATTACTTAGATCTAGATTATAGCTATATATGCAAGCAAAGATAAAATCTGTAATACTGCTTATTATTATACTCTTTTGCTATATAGCGGAGAAGTTATATGGGATATCGTGAATATATACCGTTAATTAAAGAGTTATAAGGCTAAGAAGGTCTCTAGCAGAAATAAGGGCAGATATTGCCAGAGCGACGATATTGCAAAGGAGAGGATCTTCGAAAATAGCGTATTCGGGAGATGTAGGGGTATCCATTAATAATAAGTTGCAACGCTGAGATACTAAGAAAGTCGAAATAAAAGTGGCTTGCTACCTCACTGGTGGGTGGCTATAGCTAATTATGTTAGCAGAGCTGACTTCTGTATTTTTCAGTACCGTACATTGAAATCTTCGTCATTAAACACTTTTCGCGGTCATCTCTTCCCGCCTCAAAAGCATTCCTCCTCAATATAATGACGCGCCCGTTATTTGCCTTCTCGTAAGGCTTTAAAGTTGTGGGTACGAGTCTTTCATTCGCGTGCGGTATTGGGATCGGTGTCTCCCTCACCACAGAAGCGCAACTGAGCAATGAATCAATGAGGATTCATGGCTAACACTCTAGCTACGATCTAGAACCCAATATTTATACGAATATTCCGGCATAAAGTCATGCGACTACAGGGCACGTGATGTCTCAGCCACTAATCACACGCTGTAATCAGTGAAACTAGCCTGTAAAGCCACCACCACTAAAGTGCCCTGGAAGCCCCTGTATTTTAGTAGGTCCATACCTAAATTATAGGCTAGTTGCACCCGTAAAAGCGGGGCCTTATAAGGCTTACAGGCACTCCGGGCCCTCGGCCCGCTATACCTACCTATATAAGGGAAAGAATGGGGAAATTAAAGGTGGAGGAGTAGGTAAATGCCTTCATAATATAAATCCATAAGTATATTACAATCTCTTGAATTTGTACTAGAAATCAAGCTTTTTATATGCTCTTCTGTCTATGAGCCATGCTTGCATACCGTTCCCGATATGCTTCTCTCTCTAATGAGCCTGAAGAATTAGCTAATTCTACTTCTTCCTCCTCTTCTTCCTCCTCTTCTTCTTCTTCAGGACTCGAATTAGATAATTCTAGCTCAGAAGATAAGAAAGAGTATTACTCATATGACGATTCTATGGATAAAGACTCAGATTTTGACGAGGCCTTGAATTTAACTTCTTCTTCTGCTCCTCCTATAAGTACTAGCTCCACTTCCGCTTTAAAAGAGTATCCTCTGGCCGTACGAGCTCAAGCAGTTACTCTTAAGTATCTTGCTTATCCGGTTCACCAAATTAAGAAGCTAACTGGAATCAGCCGCTCTTAAATCTTTCGCCTTTATACAAAGGCACTTAAACGTGGGTGGAAATCAGAGGAAAAAATGAGACTTGAGAACAAGTACCTTGCAAATGCGGAGCATACAGGTAGGCCCCGTATTTCGTAAGAGGCTATTGCTCTTATTATTAAAACGGTTACTAAAAACGCTATTACTCGCGGATAGTCTTATAAGAAGATCTCTCAGGAAGTCATATGACTAGGTTAACCTATTACTCCCCGTATAGTATATAAGATCTTGAAAGCTAAAGGTTATGCTTCTTATAAGCTAATAGTAAAGCCAGGATTAAATAAAATAATTAAGGAAGTACGAAGGGACTTCTATAAGAAGTATAAAGATTGGATACTTGAGGACTAGAAAAATGTCATTTTTTCAGATAAGACTGCGGTTTAATTAGGAGGGTATAGGGGAAAGCAGAGGGTATAGAGAAAGCCAGACAAAGTATATAAAAAGCATGTGATTTGCAAGAGATAGAAAGGATTTAGTCAGTTTATATTCTGGGGCTACTTTACTTATGAGAAGAAAAGCCCTTATTATATCTGGGAGGCTGAAATACTATAGGAAAAGCGTATAAGAAAAGCAGATTTAGATACTCGAAACTCGGCAAGAGAGGAAGAAGATAAGAGAAGGTGAGAATTAAAGAAGAAGGAGAAATATAATATATTCGTACGAAAGCATGGTAGAAGACCGGGTAGAAGAAGGGTAATTTGGAGGCATACTAAGGGGAATGGAGCGTATATAGTAAAAAAGGGACAGGGAGGAATAAATTAGTATAGATATTAAGAGATTATTTTAAAGAAGAAGCTTCTTCCTTTCGCAAAGGAGTATCAAGTGATACGCCCTAAAATAATTATTCAGGAGAACGGTACTCTATCTCATACGTTAAAATATTAGTAAGAGGTCTTTGATTTATTTGAAATCATGCGGCTTCTATAGCCAGGCAATTCTCCTGATTTAAATATAATAGAACCTATATGGTTTTGGATAAAGAAGGAAACGACTAAAAATGGAGAGTTTACAAGTGAGAAGAAGCTGAAGAAAGCATGGCTAAAATACTGGAGGGACTTGCCACAAGAGAAGATAAGAGAGTGGATTAAAAGAATTCCAATTCACATTCAAGAGATACGTAGATTAAAAGGTGGAAACGAGTATAAGGAAGGGAAGAAAAAGGGTCAAGAGCACATTGCAATTTACTAATAATATATCCTCAAATTGCTCCTATTTAACTCTTATCTGCCCTACAAAATTAAGCGATCGCTGCCTGATTGCCCCTAATTATAGGGGCTAATGCCTATAAATATAGGGGGTGGTGGGGCAGTTTAATTACAGGCTCGTATTAGGCATAAAATGCATAAATGCCCTGTAGTCGCATGACTTTATACCGGAATATTCGTACACGATATACTCTCGAAGATGCCCTTTAATACCCGTTACTCGTTCGGCCGGGCTCACCTGGTTCTCGCTTAGCACGCTTACCAGGTGAGGGAGGGCAATACGTAAAAACCAGCAATACGCAAATTTTTCCCCGCCCCCCCACCATCGACTTTTCAACCCACCAAAATGCCACCCAAAGCAGAAGCTATTGAAGAGCGAATTGCTAAGGCCTCTGAGGCTATGGATCGAGATCCTAGGCTCAAAGGAACGAAGGCTGCAGCCCATTTTGGGGCCCCGTACGATCGATTAATGGCCCGGCAAAGGGGTCGTCCTGCAAGCAACTCTCGGGGTGGACATAATAAAAAACTCTCAGTATTACAAGATGAGTCTTTAAGAGATTATCTCTTAATACTCTATACCTCCGGGCGAAGTCCTAATCTGGAAGCGATTTAAACAGGTGCCTCCAGGCTAGTTTATTATAATACTGGCAATATTAATTCCTCCGTATCTCGCAGATAGACAAAAGCCTGGATCGCCCACAATTACGAATTCCTAAAGCAAATTCGAGAGAAACCAATATCTGCGAAACGTCTGAGTATACATATTATAGAGGATATTAAGGAGCATTTTGCCAATTTTGACAAGTGCAGGAGAAAATGGAGTATTCGTACGGAGAATATGTCTAATTTTGACGAGAGTGGCTTCCAAATTAGAGTCATAACGGGGGATATTATATACGTACCACTGGATTGCGAAGTAGTATATAATACTAATCCAGATAATCGAGAATTAGTTATAGTCATAGCTACGATTAATTACGGTAGAAGGAAGATTCCTGTATATATTATTTTCAAGGAAATATATTATCTTTGCGGATATTTTCCACGGATACTTAACGGCGGTATCGAATTTGTATGCTCTCTTACTGGTTTTATAAATAATCGCCTGGGTTTATAATATCTCAAGTACTTTATTAAGCACTGTCCTTCTTTACGAACGGGTGCCTATAGGATCTTGATTTTCGATAGGCATGGTTCTTATTTATCTGACGAATTTTTATACCTCTGCTGGGAAAATCGCATTCGACCATTCAGATTACCTATATACACAACTCACCTCCTTTAACCACTTGACGTTATTGTCTTCCAATCTTTAAAATACTGGTTTCAAAAAGAGCTTTGTTAAGAGATTTTTAATAGTACGGAGGAGTTTAATAAGACAGACTTTTTTGCGATTTTCTAGAGGTTTTGGGATAGGGTTTTTAAGAGCCGGCGTATTATAATCTCTTCCTTTGAGAAAACTGGATTAATACCCCTTAATCCGCTCAGAGTTCTACAGAAAATAAAGGAGTATAAAGAGCTTTTAAAGCGTCCGCGAACTCTAACTCCTCCTCTATAGCACTCTTTACTAATTTTACCTTCTTCTCCTGGTTTTGCTACCCCGCCACCCCGCACTCCTACCCACGAAGACTGGGCAGATTAGCCTACGCCATTAATATTATATACGCGAAAACGAGGCGTTAATTATATCAAAAATCATATGATATAATTAATAAATGGTATACCTATTACTCCTTCGGTTTTATATATACAAGAGAAGGTAGAAGCGGCATTAGAGAGGTCAATTTTAGCTAGTGCTCTCGCTAGACAAAGGGTACTAGATCTGGGCCTTGCGGAGAAGGAGCGTTTAACTAGGAAAGAAGGAGCTAGTAAGATTATTCAGAAATATGGGAAGATTACTATAGAGCAAGGAAGAAAGGATATTAAGGCAGATAATAAGAATAAAGCTCGGGTGGTTAATATGAGGCATGCTAGGCTAAGTAAGCCTTGGAGAAATAAGTACAAAAAAATAATGCGAAGGTTTGAAGCTAATTACTGGGACGTAATTAATTAGAAAATGAAGGCTACTAATCATGATTTATGGGGAAAATAGGGGTTATAGTAGGCTAAAACTCTATGGTTCTATATATATAGGGAAAAATTTGCGTATTGCTGGTTTTTACGTATTGCCCTCCCTCACCTGGTAAGCGTGCTAAGCGAGAACCAGGTGAGCCCGGCCGAACGAGTAGCTCAAATTATCTTAGAACCTGCTCCTACGAACTCGTCGACCTCATCTGCAGAAACACAACAGGAAATGGCAGTCACGGAGAGGGGATTAATATTAATGCCTGTAGAGGACGTTGGGGCTTGTTATGTCGGAGTGGTGTTACGAGACTCTGTGATATGTGTGAATTGTTATTCTTGTGTCCAGGCAATGGGGTCGGCCGCTGCTGGGTTCTGCAGGTCATTTCTCTGTATGTCGAGGGTCTGTAGCCACGATAAAGGGGTTGGTTGTGGGCATTCTGGGGAAGCTCGGAAGTGGCTTATGTGAGTTGGAATGGAGTACCCTGTCTCACGCTCGAATGCTTCGGAAGAGCTGTGGCCGGGGTAGGCTACTTGGTCCTGCCCATAGCGCTGTTAACTGGCAGAGGTGGAATACTTCTCGAGACGCAGCTACGAACTGGTGTCAAAGATTTGAGTTAAGAGTTTGGCCTCAACACAAAGACTGCTTGCTAATAACTTGCAGGCGAACCATAACTCTATCTTCTTCTATTATGCCGAGAATGCTACGATAATTAATTGTATCCGATTTCTTGCCTCCAAAAACTAAATCCGAACCAAAGGAAATGAGAAATGATTCTCTATTCTTTCGTTATAATAGTCTCATATTATTCGCGTAACTGGTGCCCTCCATAGCACTGGCGCATTGATTATCCGTGCCATTTCTGGCTCTGGTTTCTCTGCCTCTTGCGTAGCAATTTTATGCTTCCGATCACGTTTTCCCCTGCCCTTGATGGTCTCTTTCGCAGTACGTGCCACTTCTGGCTCTAGCGTAGCACTCTTACGCTTCCGACCACGTTTTCCCTTGCCCTTAATAACATCTTTCGCAGTATGCGCGGCTCGTACCATCTCGATGTCCTCAAAGCTTATTACCTTCGCCTTTCCTAGGATAATTAATCTGGTTAATTAGCGAACCTTAGCTTCGTTATTTGTTCTGGTTAATATCTGATTTCGATTATCGAGAAGGCACCTCTCTCGCATACCTCCCAAGATCAAGCCACTGCCTTGAAGCTGTCTTGGCGGATGGGTTGCTCTTCAGCTCCCCCGGTACGAGAATCTGCGACCAATGGCAATTAGAGTCTTCCCCAGCGCTGGAACCGCTTATAAAGCCGATGTCAAGTTTGTTCATATGCTATTTAATAAAAAGGATCCAAAATCTGCTCCGGCAGAATTCCTGCGAGGGAGCAAAAACGGATTCCCGGGCAAAATTCGGTAAGGAAACTATAGCCGGGGCATACGGGAGGCCAAAATGGGTTCCACAATTATGGTGCGCAGGCTGACTCAGGGCGTGCTCAGGGTGCTCAGGCTCTGCTCAGGCTCTGCTCCGGCATGCTCAGCCTCGGCTCATGTTAAAGCAGCAGTTGCTCACGTCCGCAGACTAAAACGGAAGTAGCGAAAGGGAAAATTAATCCTGAGTCTATGGGTATTCGTCCCTTCCTCGCCTCCATAATTTCAGTGTGGTGATCTACGGAATCTAAGCTGATATGTCCCTTGATTAGTTGAGTGGGGACTGCTTAGGAACTACTCAGTCTTAGGTGATCTGGATGAGCCGAAGGGCGATAATTTTTAGCTCTTAAGTTGAGGCGGCCAGGCTTATTGACCATGATGATCTCTGGAACCCCAAGCCCAAACCTGTCCAGCTCCCAAGCAGAGTTGTGGCAATGGCTCCAGTTGGGGCAGTGTTGCGATATGTGGAGAATAGGAGAGTGATCAGCACAAAAGAGGCAGAGAAAGAAATGAAGGAGATTGTAAGGGATCTGTTCAAGTATGAAGCCGTCGTACTCTCCATCCTGCCCGCAATGCCCAAAAACAAAAAAGGTAATCGGATAGAAGGGTTCACCCACCAACCGCCCACACCCCCATTCCGCCCAAGCCAAAATTCAACTTTAATATTAATTTATTAATTATTAATATAATTTTATACTTTGTTAAGTTTTAGTCAATAAATATACTCTTTAATGATAATTTTATTTTTTTAAGCAAAATTTATTATTAATATTACTTATAAAACTAAGTTCTTATTTATATTTTAAGAATTTTGAAGTGATATTAAAGAATAATTAAAATAAGTCCTCTTATAAAAATTCTTATAATGAAGAGAGATAGTATTAGTAAATAACAGAAATCAATTTTTATCAATTTTGGTTAATTATTAGTATTATAAACGGTGTGAGAAAAATCGATTTTTTGGTTGGGCGGAATGGGGGTGTGGGCGGTTGGTGGGTGAACCCTTCTAATCGTTTAAGCGTAAATGTAATCGTGATCTTTTGAGAAGGTCCTCTCAATTGCCTCTCGCATTTCAAAAATTCCTTCCCCACCTTCCCAAACTCTAACTCCAAACTTCAATCCAATAGCTCCTACTCCACCTCATTTATCTCTTAGTGATTAACCTATAGAGTAGAGAGTAGAGAGCTCTGGAAGCTGTAGAATAAATGGTGTTGAGGAAGAGAAGGTGCTAGGACAGCGCGGCACTAAGCTCACCGCCTTGCAGGGGGGTGCTCTAGACTTCTTGCAACCCCCTTTCGTACAGTAATCTGACACAGTAAGCGAGACGCCGACTCCTCGAGGACAACGTCGACTCAAACCTCACTGTGAAATCGTGAGAGCATGCCATCAAATCCAATGAGATAACGACCAGCGTTCCTTCGCCATGGCACACCCGAGCCGCGATGTCTCCCTCCTTTCCCCAACGCACTACGACGACGATGCGTCGAGCATCCACAGCGAACGCAGCGACCAGGACACCGATAGCGAGGACGACGAGGTGCTGATGGGCGCGCGCACGAGCGCCGATATCAGGGCGCATGATCGGAATGTGTTGCTAGAGGAGGAGGAGAGGGATAGGCTGCTCGAGGAGAGTCGGGGGCGGGGGAGACGGGGCAGCGCGTTGGCTAATGTTGCGGCACCATTGAAGAAGTTGTTTGCGAAGAGCACGACAGATTTGAGCATAGGGTCTGGATCTGGATCTGTGGAATTAGGGACGGAGGGGATGGGGAGTGGGATAAGGGAGAAGAGGAAGAGAAGGAGGGATAGGAGGAGGCAGAGGAAAGAGAGGTTGGTGAGTGAGGCGTCGATTGGAGAGGATGGACATTTGATGTATGAGATGGAGGAGGGTGGGATGAAGGATGGGAGCTCGACGGGATCTAGCAGTGAGACTGAAGGTAGTGACGAACTCGATCGACGCGGATTGAAGGGATTACACGATGACAAGGCGGCACGGAGACGAAGGTGGAGGAGATGGTGCTTCATACACGTCTTGATTGCCGTGGGGTTCTCGATACTGGTGCTTCTTTCCTGGAAGCTGTCGCTCAACCGGAAAAGGGTCGCTATCAAACAGCAAACTATGATGAGCAATGGGACGGCACTGTTTGCGCCAACGACGATATTGATAAGTTTGGATGGGTTCAGAGCAGATTTTCTGAACAGGGGCATCACGCCGAGATTGAACGCATTCATTGCTGAAGGCGTTTCGCCAGTATATATGCTTCCAAGCTTCCCTTCCGTCACATTTCCGAATCATCATACTATTTCAACTGGACTATACCCGGAATCCCATGGCGTAGTTGGGAATACTTTTTGGGACGAAGAACTACAGGAGGAATTCTTCTACACCCATCCGAATTCGATGGACCCGAAATGGTGGGGCGGCGAGCCAATATGGGTGACGGCGGAGACCCAAGGCATTCGGAGTGCTATTCATATGTGGCCCGGCAGCGAAGCACACATCATGGGTGTTGAACCTGCGTTCATTGACAGTTACAACGGCAAAGAACCTCTGCCGAACAAAGTCACGCGTATCCTCGAATTGCTCGATAAGCCGGGCCAAGAAAACAAGCTGGCGGAAGTGGGAGATATGCGACCTCAGCTGATTGCTGCTTACGTTCCAAATGTCGACACTGATGGACACAAATACGGTCCGAACAGCACCGAGATCAGGGCCACCATTGCCGGTGTTGACGCTCTGCTGGACGGCGTCTTCAAAGGACTTGAAGAGCGAAACCTGACTCAAATTGTCAATGTGGTAGTCGTCTCGGACCACGGCATGGCAACTACAGACACAAGTCGAGTGATCCAACTGGAGGATATTCTCGACACCAATTTGATTGAGCATATGGATGGATGGCCACTTTTTGGCCTGCGGCCCAAGAACCCTGCCGATCTTCAATCTCTCTACGACACACTCGCCGCAGAGGCAGCTGTGAACCCAGGCTTTGAGGTCTACCTTCGAGACAAGAATATGCCAGAGCGATACCACTTCTCGAAGAACGAGCGAATTGCGCCACTCTGGATGATTCCAAAAACAGGATGGGCTATCGTCACGAAGAAAGACTTCGATGTCGCCGATGCCAAAGCAAAAGGAACTATTTACCATCCTCGTGGTCTCCATGGATACGATCACGAGCATCCATTGATGAGAGCTATCTTTGTGGCAAGAGGTCCGGCGTTCCCCCATCCCCCGAACAGCCGGGTTGAGCCTTTCCGTAAGTCTAACAATCAACCTCTGAGAGCTTTTCCTAACCGTTTGTTCAGAAAACACCGAAGTTTACAACATTCTCTGTGATTCTCTCGGCCTAGAGCCAAGACCAAACAACGGCACCCTCCGCTTACCCCTCCAACCCATCGGTTTCCACACCCCAGAAACAATGCCAGAAGAACCCAGTGATCCCGTCCCCGTATCCGTTCCAACTCCACCTTCGCCTCCCTCCTCACCTCTCCCTCCATCTCCACCTTCGCCACCATCTCCCATCTCCGCCGGCGTCGACGGAGTAATCTCCATCTCCCCCATCGAGGCCTCCTCAGCCGCAGACCCAAACGAAGTCCCACCTCAGATGATCGGCGTCAATCCAACCGACGACGCATCCGTTGACAGACCGGTCGTCTCTGATGAGAGCAGCATGACCGAAGATGAGAAGGATTTCTGGGAGTGGTTTAAGGATAAGTTGGATAAAGCGAAGGGGTGGTTGGCTGGGTTGACTGGGGGGAAGAAAGAGGGTGAGAAGGAGGGCGAGAAGTGAAATGTGTATCATATCCATGCTGGCAGTTTTTGGGAGTGTATATACGGTTTTGGGATAGGGCAAGATTCATTGCAGGTGTTGGGCGTTCGATTACCACAGGAGCCAGCGGCTGATGAGTTTCTATTTTCGTCTCTAGGGTTATATACCTGTATGTTTGGTGCTATTAACCTATGGCTTGACTCACTTTCTGATGTGGAAGCGTTTGGGGTTGCAATGTCTGAATAAGACCTCGTGATCCCCTGATCAAGTGGTCAACGTAAAAGATACTAACTATGAAGATCAATTTCTGCGATGCTCACTTGACACGTTTACCCTTGAGCCCCTGACGTGACCGAGCTCGAAGTAAACAACCGAGCACTCACAAAAACCACCGTAACAAACCAACTTAGAGAGTCGAAAGCTTCACTTTTATTTTTTTGCTATAGCGGATTTATGGCCAATTCGTTTTGCAGTTGTTCGTCCTAGAATGTAACCGCGGTGTGGAAATGGTAGAAAGCCCAACCCGTCAAAGAAACCCTATCAGTTGCATAAACACGCCAGTTCATGCAATGAATTTCCGCCCAAGAATGAAACCCCAGCGCATGCAAGAACTCCATCCAATGCAAGAAACTTCATCCAATGCAAGAAACTCCATCCATGCGAGATGTCCAAACATACTTATCTTTGTATGCCTAGCCTCAGGCTGGTACAGTACTAGCCAACTGATATTAGACACGACCCCGCACCACACCACACTTCTTATTCCCACCCCATATTAATTACTTAATTACTTAATAACTACTAGGGCAATTCACGTGCAAATTGCATCGTTTTAATCATCGCGATTCGCTCTTTTATATGCCCAAATATTATATAGTTTCATCCGTCTAATTATCTTAATATTTAGTATGCCACTCATCGGCCGCAATGCAAGCCTTCATTCTCGCCGGCATACTTGCATATAAATTATCGAATAACCCCTTATCTAATATATCCCACGCCACTTAAATACAAGACTCTAGCCTCTGTCTTGCATACTCTGACTCTGATTTATCTGCCGCTACCTCTGGGAACATCTCATAGGTCCTTGTTTTCAGGTACCACCAGATATACTCAATTAGGTTGAGATCAGGGGAGTATACGGGCCAATTTGCTATCTGTATAATACTATGGAGTGCAAACCAAGCCTGAACTATATATGCCCGGTATATAGAAGCATTATCTTGTATAAACAAGTAACCATCGTCAAGTCGTGAGAAAATTGGAGCTACTTCTGCGTCGCAAATCTCCAGGTAGGAGTTAGCTAAGTACCCATACTTTGCCGACTCAAAATCACGGTCCATAATATAGTAATTAGACCTCCCATAGTCCCAAAAGCATCCCTAGACCATGATCTTCATATTCTTGCCCGTGCCATAGGTTTGAACCATCTCCTTATACCACTTTTGCTCCGGTGTACGAAAGTACCATTCCCCCCTTTTACCCCGCCCCCGCTCTACAGAACACTCGTCACTCCATACTACCAAGCCCCACTTCTCTTCTGTCTATCCTTCTCGTACGAGGCACTAAGCAAGCCGTACCATCGCGTGAGCTTCTATAAGCTCCGGGTATCTCTTTGCTCTCCAATTACATATGCCATGCCTCTTGAGGATCTTCTTAATAGTTTCACGCCTATAACCCAGCTCTAATTGATCAATGACCTGTTGGTATGTATCCTTTGGGTTCAGGCGAACGTAACGGAGGATTCGACGTTTATTGGCATCGGTATATGATTTCTTGCGAGGCTTTCGTGGTAGGGAGTGCCCGTCGTTACGTAATTCGTCTTGCTGAAGTGTGTAATTAACGGTACTGCGAGTCAATTTTAGGTCCTTTGTAATCGAGGTAGGATCTGTACCCTCTGAAGCCTTCCCTATAACTTGACCACGTATATAAGGAGAGATCTCTGACCCCTTAGGGCGATTTCCAGAGATGGAGCGTAAAGGAGTGCATAAAGGTGGCATTTTGGATAATATATGTAAGGGGGTTGGTGGGGGAAATCGCGTCGCGTCGCTTAAATACGCGTTTCGGCTAATATCAGTTGGTGGTGACTGTAGTTGAAACAAGCCAAGACAAGACATCAAATCATCTAACAAGGACCGCCACGAACCTGAACGAAATAATTATCGGTGTCTCAGACCTGTCCACCGGTAAGGTCACCTGCCTTGCAGCTGCTCGCAATAGCCTTAACCAAGCCGGAGACGTCCCGACTCTGGACCTTGAGTGTACCGGCATGATATTACACCAGAACGTTAGACCAAAACTCCAGTAGGAAAAAAGAGAGAGAATTTGGAAAAGCAAGATGGAGGAAGGGAGGGGCGTACCGGATTGCAGACATAAATGCCGGAGTTTGCCGTGCACCAAGCCTTGCGGCAGGTCCACGGGTCGACATCACGGCCGCGGTTCAGGCCGTCTAGGTAGACGGTGCCCCACATAATGGCCATGTAATCAGCGTATTCCCAGCCTTCGAGGTCTGGGATGCATTGCAGAGCGACGGGGCTACCGGCCTAACGGAAGGTCAGTCAAGAGCATAGATGGATTGATGTTGTAAAGGAGGATACTCACCTCAGCTCGAGCAGCCAAATCATCGAGATTGATCAGTGTAACGTCAGTATCACAATGCTCGATATCAGCCATTAACTCTTGACGAAATCAGTGTCTCAACCACGTAAAAGATGGGGGTATGGAAAACCTTGCCTCTCGCTTGACAGTGCGGCGGCTATTGGAACAACTCTGCTATAGGATGATAATATTGAAGTTCTCAGAGTCGAAAAGTTGACCACCAGTACACTGTCCATTGCTGGGGACATATTCGTAGCAGTCATCAGTAATCTCCTGGCCCAAATCTGCCAAGTGACTAGCATAGCTTTCATAATAAACACGATTCTAGATTCAAACATTCTATCAGCAAAACGGACAAGACTTATAGTTTGGCTTTGACAAGTGATAGAGCAGAGACATGCTCGAAAGAAGAGCTGGGCAGTATGCGTCCCGAGCAAAGGAGAGCTTACGTCGTTGCACCCTAGATGGAGGAAGAGTTAGCGGCTGCTCAATTAAGATTTTCTGGCAAAGATAATAATAGACACAGGGATAGAAAAGCACCCACAATAGATTGCAGGGTCTTGAACGCAGTTCAAGCGTTCGCAATGGTGAGGATCAATGCCAAGAAGAGGGCCGCGGTTACGGAGATCAGCAACGGCTTGCCAAGCAGAACCATATGTGACTCGGCCCCGGGCTGGCCGGAAACCGTAGAACAGAGGAGCTTTCCAGGAGTACTGGTCTGTGAAAGGGTTAGTTAGAGTTCAGTAAGAATTTGCGAGGTGAGTAGAAAGGTAAACTCGAACTCACGTCAACGCGGGAATTAATTTCGGGCGAGTCGATATTACGGACAACTGGGAGGCTGGTTGAATCATTACGGACTTGAAAGGTTGCTGAGATATCCACGAAAGTCAGACTCTAATCTCATATTCGCTGGTTCCGTTTTAGTCTATGGACGTGAGCAGCTGCTGCTTTAACCTGAGCTGAGGGTGAGCATGCCTGAGCAGAGCCTGAGCAGAGCCCTAAGCCCTGAGCGCGCTAATAAGTCATCCGGATTATGCTCCGGGGGATCCTCTTCTGGCTCCCTGGAGAATTGGTTACAGTTTCTACGTTGTTTAAATATAAATCTTGCTGGTGCCTGTTAGTCTAAAACACAGCCACCCTTTCTAACCTATTAAAGTTTTTTGTATTTACCGGTTGCAAAGGGTGCCCTACCTCTCGCCCTATAAAAAGCCCGCCCCCACGGCAGTAGCCTCCGGAGGGTCAGCGGAGCGTCATACAGGCATTCTCTCAGACTTATTAGCCTTAAAAATAGTAATTAAATATTAGCAAAAATTATAAATGGTCAAATTTGTGCTACCATGGAATTGAAATAATAAAAACCTGGTCGAATTCCACCTAATAGGCGAGGTGGTCGAAACCGCTAAAAAGTAAAAGAGGGGGGGTATGGGTAATGGTATCTGTTTTTCGCTTCTCCCTATTAAAATTACAAGGATCCCTGCCGGTGCCTTTGTTTGTTTATTTGTTTGTTTTATTCATATTCTGTTCTAGGCCTAAAAAGGCCCATACGGGGACTACTTGAGTTCTAACCTCAAGTACTGTTTTCGCTGACTAATCCACTTCTTGTTAACAAGAAGACGCGTGCAAAAGAGGCCCTGGGCTTCAGTAAACAGCTCCAAAACCCTGTGGGAAAAAGGAGCTAAAGAATGCCCTTTCCTGTCCTAACGTGACACCTCACCCCCTCCCTTCCTTCCTCTCCTCCCCTTATCCCTCGCCATCCTGGCACCTCCCTGCAACGCGTAAAAGGACAGATAGCTGGGTGACGATATGTATGGGGTATAGTGCCTTCGGACAAGGGCATACGGTATCGTTTTGACATCTTTCTTACAACTGCCCTCTATTCAGATATCGAGGGAACTTTGGATGTTATTATTCTCATAGTGGCGGAAGTTTTGGGGAGCTGAAGTTCTGAATCGGGTAAGTGGCATTAGGGGGGGGGGGGGGCGTGCCACCTCATTTTCTGGCAGCCTTTCAACCTCTCGGGTCAAAGCGCAAAACCTCAAATGCAAACTTCCGATCCGAGTTTAAGATTTCGACCTAACAAGATGAGTCGCTACATGTAAAAGCAAGAGATATAGAAGAGTGAGATGGAGGAGTGAGTCGTGTGGCTGGCATGACAACACAACCACCGACGGAAAAGGAACGCACTGAATCCTCGACGCCTCGAACGAAACATGCTCTTGAAATTTTCACGACAGATTGCCCGCAGAACTTGAGATCGCCTGTCGATAGGCTGCGTGCTGTGACATATCAATGACAGGTCCCCTGCAAATTCGAAATCCATTGCAGCGCTGGGGCTGAAGAAGTGGATGAATGACTTATCCGATTTGGGCAATCATGCATGCAATGAAAACGCAAGAGGGGAAAGCGGGAATATCCTGGAGTCTTCGGAGACATGGCTTGCAGAAGTGCGAGACAGAACCGGATGTTTGGAAGCTTACTGGATCTCTTGGCGGAGAGGCTGAAAAAGAATAACCAATCCTGCTCCGCATTTGCTAGCTGGACAGCGGGACGGGCCACCGATCACTTCCCAAAACTTGCCCCTGCAGAGAACATTACAGAATGCTATTATTATTAGTGGGCTGGATTGCGCGCCCCCCTCGGGCCCCAGGCGGGGTTTGCTCCTTAAATCTTGTTGGTAATGAATGCTTAAGTGTCATGAAAGCTTCTCATGCTCCACACTACAGATCATTTTTCGCTCCATATATTTGGTTTCATATCCACCACCCCATGGTTGATCGTCAACAATGCCTCCACCACTGTCAGATCCCCCCGGTCCAGGAGACCAAAACGGCTCGAATAGCTTTTGGTCTGCGGGACAGGGAGAGCACAAACCCCCTCACAGATACAAGGCCACGACTTACCAGCGTCTGACAAACCCGCGTCGCTCTATCCGGCTCCTCAATCTCTTTGGAAGCAGGACCAAAAACCTCGAGATCTACTGTGAGCTGGTTGTGACCGATTTCGAGGAGAAAACAGGGCTTACAGCGGAAAAATACGAGGCTGTATCGTGGTGCTGGGGCAGAGCCAAACCAACAACTTATATCAACATCCGCAAAGGAGAGAAGTTCTACGCCAAATACGTTCCGGAGGACTTAGTTCACGCTTTACAAGCTTTGCGATACCCGCAGAAGAATCGATATCTGTGGATTGATGCGATATGCATCAACCAGGAATACCTCCTCGAAAAGAATCACCAGGTTGAGATGATGTCCGATATATACGGTAAAGCTGACAAAGTTTGCGTTTGGCTCGGCGTCGGGGATGATTCTAGTAAGGCTGCCTTGAAATTCATCAAGAATGAGGTGCTCCAGCTTCAAAACTTCGACGACCTGTGCAAAAGTGAGAAAGCTAGTGCGAAATGGGGTGCATTACTCGATCTTATGCAGCGACCGTGGTTTTCGCGTCGCTGGGTGGTCCAGGAAATTGCTCTTGCTCGGAAAGCTATGATATACTGTGGCGATGACAGAATTTCATGGAACAAGTTTGCTGTGGCGGTAGAACTTTTCGTTGAGGTTGAGACTGCAACGCATCGTCTGTCTGAGGTGATGAAGAAAGACCCAAGATACTATCATGTTCCTGGCTGGTTCGAATATGTCTCTGCACTTGGTGCAAGTCTCCTAGTTGACGCGACCGGGAAACTGTTTCGAGATTACAAGACGATCGCAATGACGGCTGAAGACTCCGACTCCGATGGCGAGTCTGACAAAGAGGACTCGGATTATTCTGATTCCGACTCTTATTCAGACGATGATTCTGGCTCGGGCACAGGGAGCGAAAATACCGCTCAAGCAGAGGCGTCGTCTTCTGCAGAACGGGCCAAGGTTGATAACCAAGAAGGGATGCAGATTGGCGGGGATGTTGAAAACTCATCTCCCAAGACTGCTGAAGACGTGTCTGATGTTGTGCATGGCCACCGAGGACAACCTCTTCTGACTCTTGAGTACCTCGTCTCAAGTCTATCAATATTCGAGGCTTCCATGGACCACGATATCATCTACGCTCTGCTCGCTATCGCGAAAGACACGACTCCCATGGCAAGCGAAGAGACCGGAAGGCTGGCTCTGGATCACACGCAGCACGTTCTCGAAATCTTCACGGAGAAGAAACGATACAAAGTCGAGTACGAGAAACCATTTGTCGATGTGTGCAGAGATTTTGTCCAGTTCTGTATCGAGCGTTCGCTAGAAACAGATAAAACGCGGGCACTGGATGTAATCTGCAGGCCCTGGGCACCGGAGGGAGACAATGGGACCGAACGACCAAGCTTGTCTGGAACGAAGAAATCCAAACACAAGAAGAAATCAAAGGGAAAGATGAAAGCCACCAACACCGAAGAGGTCACTGGCGATCAAAAGCCGGGCAGCAACCAAAAACCTGGAACTGCTTCAGAGCAGAAGGGAGTAGAAAAGCCTCTTAATTTACCCTCCTGGATCTCCAGGCTGTCTGGTGCTTCATATGCCATGTATTCTCATCCAGGGATGCACAGTTCGAAGATGGGACGCAAGAATGCAGACTCACTTGTGGGACTTCCCACTCTAACCCAGCGAAACTACAACGCTGCCGAGAGGAAAGGGGTCGATATGAAGACCTTACGATTCAGGAAGCGTCCAAACGTGGGTCAAGGCCATTATAGCCTTTATCTCAAAGGTTTCCAGCTGGACACTATCACTGACGTATATCATTCTTCCCAAGGAGGATCGATTCCTTCAGAATGGGCCAAAGCTGGTGGATGGCACAAGGCACCAAAAGGACCGCCACCCGATGAGTTTTGGCGTACTTTGGTTGCCGATCGTGGTCGAGATGGGAGGAATCCGCCGGTTTACTATGCTCGTGCATGCCAAGAGTCCTTTTTGAAGGGAGGATTAATGAGTGGGTCTGTCAACACGACCGACTTGATCAACAACGAACGCTGTTCGGTGGTTGCCCAATTTTGTCGCCGAGTGCAAGCTGTTATATGGAACAGGTCTCTGATCAAGACAAAGTCAATGAAACTCGGACTGGTTGACAAGAAGGTTGAGAAAGGAGATTTGATCTGCATCCTCTATGGCTGCAGTGTTCCAGTTGTACTCCGAAGGAATAAAGAGAAAAGGTCGAAAGATGAGATAGATGCTGAGATAGTGGAGGATATTCGACAATGGTGGAAGGAATTTTGCCGTAAGCTTGAGGATTACAAGAAGCGTGTACGAGTCTTCAAAGCGAAGCGGCAAGAGGTAAAGCAGGAATACATAGATTGGGATACTAAAAAAAAGGCTGAGTGGCGGAAAGATACAAATTGGAGGTCGACATGGGCTGCCCGGCAACTCGATAAGGATTGGTGGAAGGCGTGGGAAAAGAAATGGGCAGAGGGCCATCCATCGACAGAAAAGAAGAAGGATGAGCCCGAGAATTCCGGTGGTACATCGGAGAAGGGAAAGGACGAGAAGAAGAAAAAACCGTTAGAGCTAAAGAATGATGACGAATGGTGGAAAGCTTGGGAGGAAAAGAAAGCAGAAGAGAGGAAGTTTCTGGGGAAGCTTGAACACTCTGGCGATCTAGAGATGTACGAAAAGCTCCAAGCACTCGACGACGAGAAAGCCCCTTGGCGAGCAAGCGATAAGGAGTGGTGGAAGCAATGGGTCCTCAAGAAGTCAAAACAGAGGACAGGACTCACTGGCGGTCCGTCCCTGAGCAACAACCATGAAAGAAGCAATATCATATGCGACATGATGCTCCAATTCATCCCCTGGAGGGTGGATATAATCAAAAAGAAGATTCCACTCGATCGGGAATTCAACCATTGGAAGTCTGAAAAACGCGAGCAATACAAGGAGAAGAAGACGCTGGATACAGAATGGAAAGAACCTTCTACAAACTGGGCCGAATTTGAACTAGCTCGCAAATATGGCGTACGGTGGAAGAGAACCCTTCCTAAATATAAGCCGAAACCGAAGGAGGTAGTTGGCACCAAGACTACAGGGTCTGCACCGGCGAAGACAAACGGTGAATTGTCCCAAAAGGTAGCAGTAACGCCAGTGCCTTCAGCAGTTATCAATCCAGCCAACCAAGTTGGCTTTGTTCAAGACAAGAAGGATGGGTCCAAGTTAGGGGATGATGTCAAAGGTGACGCCCAAGTGGGTGCCAAAGCGGTGATCAGTGATACGAATGAAGAACTTCAAGCAGCCAAGACCGGCCAACCCGACCCCACAAATCCAAGTCATGTGGGGGCCAATCCGGGCGAAGGTGGTTCAAAGACAAACGGTCGTTCTCGACCGAGATCTTCGACACCTAGCACCCGAAGATCTGCAAAATCGTCAGCCGAGGAGCAAGTCTCTCGCCAGACGACGGACAAAGAGACAGATCCACCTGTACAAACTGGAATAGGCCTTATGGAATCTGCTATTCCAGGACTCGATCTTGAAGAAGAAGAAATGAGGGAAAAAGAAAAAGCGGAAGCTGAGAACAAGGAGGAGGAGGAGCAGAATCGAAAAAACAAGGAAGAATTGTTGGAGTATGTGAGGAAAGAGCGGAAGGATTATTATAGCCCGTGGCATTACGAGTTCCTCGGAGAGTGCTATATTCATGGGATGATGGATGGTGAGGCCATGGCTGCTCAGAATCGTGATGCGATACCGACGACGCTGTTTGAGTTGCGGTAGTCATTTCAGTATGTTTGGTGGTTTCGTCTCTTCGCTCGAGTAATTTAAGTTGCTCTATTGTCTGTTCTTGGGGCTATTTTCATTTCGGTTAGTGCAATGTGATGGGATATAATACATTGGGACAATTTCCAGCTTACCTGCTGCCCTCGCCAAGTCACTTTATCCACTTGGATAAATGTGCAATGCTATACTATTTTTTTATTTTCTGCAGATTGCTTTAAAAGAGTAGCCTTAATACAATACACTGTTTTAAAAGGAAATAATATATTGTTATTATAAAGATGTTTGAATTTGTGATTTGCTAAGTAACCTCCCGAGTGTAACATTTCGATCGATAGTAGTAGCTGTGTGCTAGAAGCCCTACTACGTATCTAAGATAATTCTAAAATTGGCTAGGTTGGTCCCTCTTCGCCGTTGTCTTCTCCCCTCAGGCTAAGGGAAGAAAGAGGCCCAGCTGGAGGGTGAACAGTAGCATTATGTAAAGAATTTTCCTGGACAGGAACTGACTGGTCCGGCGATGAGGCTGCATGTGCGTCGGGCATGGGTGTCAGAACCGACGCGGTTGCCGAGTAGTGAGCTTCAACTGTTGTTCCAGAGATTTCGTTCGCAGTTCCTGGGTTCGGCTGTTCACTTATGGCGGTGTTCTCTTGAGGTGGAACTTCACTCAACGCCTCAAGCACCTTGGCATGATGAAGAAGTGGCGATGCTTCAGGCTGGGTTGATATCGGATGATCTTGAGTGCTATGCAGAGTATCTGGTGATGCAGTTGAGTTCTCAGTATGAGTGGTGGAAGATGCATCAGGTGCAATTGCCGCTTGTGGGGTCTCGCCCGCCTCAGTGGAAGCAGGTTGTGTTAACATTGGTGCAGCTGGTGTAAACTTGCGTAGCTCTGCTTTTGTGTCAACTGATCGAGCTCATGATACGTAGGATGAATTTAACATGCCGTCTCTCTCATCAATCTCATGCATTATACGGTGCATTGCGGGAATGAACTCATCGATATTCCACCGGTTATCTCTGTTCGTGTCTGCGCGCCAGAAGATCTTCTTTATCAAGTCCATAGGTAAGTCGAAGTCCTTGCATACAGCTTTGATATCCGCTCCTGCCATCACCTAGCTATCAGGGCTCTTTCCTGCGAAGAACATCTCGGTGTACTTTTTCTCATCCGAGAGGTCAATGGCCCAAGTTGTAAGCCAGGGGAGCTTTACCAAAAGTATGAGCCTATTCATGAATGGCATTAGTCACAACGCACAGAACTGTATGGGAATAAACTCATAAAGTCTCCTCCGAAAACCTTCACCACATAGCCAGCCAAGCGAAGAATGAGAAAGGATAGTAGCTGAGTAATATGTCAGCACGAGCTCGTTACCAAATGGAGTTGGCAGCAAAATGTACCAGTTGAAATGGTCTAGCGATAGCCACCCAGAACGTCACTCTATTCGCCCTGCGACATCTGGATTCTTGCTCCGTATGTCCTTGCTCCGAAGCCCCGCCCTCCTCGTCGAAAACTGTCATTTCGTGCATATTGCTCGTTCTATCACCGACTCGACTGGTTGAACTGGATGGTTTTAAGGTAGTCATGAAGATCAAATGAATAAATGGTTGAGAAAACGAGGTGAAGGAGGGATTGAGAAGTGGGGAGCCCATTGAGTCAAACGAGTAAACTTATGTATGAGATGCAGTATGGAATTCCTCCCTTATGCAATGGCAGTTTGACAATCCGAGTTCGAGAACGGATTTGCTTGGTCCTCGAGGGGCATACGTTCCCCAAAACGATGTTATTAAGGTGTTGAAAACAAAAAAATTCGATCTAGAGTAGGTGGGTACGGTTATAGGATCTTTCTTCCCCTTACATATGTGCTAGGGTTAATTAATGTGCGAGACGCGAGAAGTTTCCCCACATATCAGGGGTCGGGCAACCCCCCGTATGATTTTCCACCGCAGAACTTTCAAGCGACAGATCTTTGAGTACATTGTTCCTTTCCATAACCTTTTGATTAGTAGATTAGATAGAAAGAACCCTTGAAGAATTCGTGAAGACTTTGATGTGTCTCTTCTGCGCCTTCTTAATCACCAGTGTGTTAAAGGATTATTCAAGTTATTCAAGTTATTCATGAATATTCATGAATAACTTGAATAAAATATGAGTAACGAGTAGCTTAAAAAACTTGAGTAAAATAGAATAATTATTCATGAATAACATGAATAACCATAAATAATTACGTATAAGTTACGTATAAGTTACGGGATTATTATAAATCGATATATATTTAAATTTAAAAAAAATAAACTAAGGTACCTATTAAGCAGCCTTATATAAGCTAAGCTAGAGCTTATATAAGGCTACTTAAATATTAATTTTCTATAATAATAAACTAATTATCCTCCCCAGAATCTTGGTTTTTCTTCTTTTTCTCTCTCTTTTTCTTTTCTTTTTTAGCCTCTTCTAATTTATCTTAAAATAACCCCCAGCTTTTTAAGTAAGATATTATCTCAAAGGTACTCTTATTAAGTCTATTATATAGTTTAGATATAATAAAAGTACCCTGAGAAAAAAACCTCTTACTAGCTACCGAGGAAGCCGGAATTCCTAAATATTTCCTAGCTATTAAAGCTAATATAGGAAATCTAGTGGTATTAGACTTCTAATAGTCTAAGGGCTTAGTCTATATATATATTAGTACTAATATATTAAAAAATATTAAGAGAATATCGGATAGATATTTAATAGAATTTAAGTAAAGTTTTACTTACTTTTTTATCTTCTCTTTTTTCTTTTAAATAAGTTATTAATTCGTCCTTTATTTTAGAGGACGAATTAGTAATATATATATCCGAGCTACTAGAATCGGAATCAGAATCGGAATTAGCTATACTAATATCCGAAATATTGGATCTAGCTTAAGATATATTATAATTATATTTATATCTAAATTTAAAAATTAGTTATTAAAATACTAAAAGCTAATAAAAGGAAGTACTTATATGTTATAATTAGTCTTTAATCTATTATATATATTTGAAGATATATTACTAGATAAGCTAATACTAGTTAATCCTTCTTATTTAATTCGAGGATTAAGAATAAGAGCCAAATATAAAGCTTTACTTTTATTATCTAAAATGCCTGTTTTAGGATAATATTTTTAAAGCTTAGCTATACCCTTATCTATAGTATTTATAAATGCTTTGTCCTATTAAATATTAGTATAAAAATATTAATAATATAAGAAGAGTTTAAGAAAAAACTTACTTTAAATTCCTTTTTAAAATTTTCTAATTTATTATATATTTTATATACTTTAGGTATAATATAATATATAGTAGGATAGTTTTCGGCTTGTAATTTAGTTATTGCTTTAATAAATATTGAAATTATATTTAAAATATTATTTAAATAAGTAATTTTAATATTAGTTAAAACTAGACTTTTATTTTTAAAAGCCTTTGAATTAGAGCTATTAATAACTACTTTAATAGCTTTATATATATATAAAAAGTTCTTTAATATATAATAAGTCAAAGACCACCGTGTTTTTTAATCTATAAATAATTAGTATTAATTAATAATTAATTAATTAATTACTTACTTACTAAGTTAAGGAAATCAAGTATTTTTTATATTAAAAGCTTTAATTTGAGCTTCTAATAGCCGTCGGTTTTCTTAATTATATTTAAGACTTATAATAGTTTTTTAAACCTTTCTCTAAATTAATAAATCTATAATTTATTAATAAAACTTTTATAAATTATAAAGGGAACTTACTTATTACTTATTCTGTTTCTCTTTCTTCTTCTCTATCTTCAAGTTCTTCTATTTCTTACTCGTATAAATCCGTAGAATAAGAAGTATTATAATTATTCTTAATAAGAGCTTTTAAAATATCTTAAACTACTAAGTTTAATATATAAGCTATATAAGGAATATCTCTTTGAAATTTAATACCTTCCTTATTATAATGCTTTATAAAAGCCTTTAATAAGGTATTATTTGAGCTAGTATTATCTTGAGTAATACTAATAAAAAAAATATTAGTAATTATATAATTAAATTAAATTAAAATTACTTACCTAGTAATATTATATTTAATATTATATTATTTTAAAGCTTCTAATAAAATAGAAAATATATAAATACCGGAGTATATATTATTTAAGTCTTTTATAGCTAATAAATAAGATTTTAATTTAAAATCCTTATTTATAAAGTATCTATAATATATTAGTATATATTTTACTTAATAATTATTAGAATATATAAACTTATATAATAATTCTAAGAAAGGCCTTTTGATTTATACCTGTCTAAGTATCTAAAGTAATAGAGAAGGTTCCTTGAGAATTAATATTCTCTTTTAATTTTTCTTTAATATTTAAACTCTTTTTAATATAGTATAATTTAAGCTTATCTATAAAAGCCTTCGAGTATATAGCAGGTACTTAACTATTAAATATTAGTATATAAATAAATAAAGAATAAGGTAATAAAAGCTTACTAATTTAAATAAGATATTAGCTTTTTAAAGCTTGAAGTAGTAATAGCCCGAAAAAAGATATTATTATTAATAATAAAATTTAATAATAATCTCTTAAAGTAATTAATAGTAAAGCTTTCTTCTCGTTATCCTAATTACTTATTAAAAAGGCTAGTTATAGTTATTTGTGAGACTTAACTAGAAGCTTTACTTTTACCTATTAAATATATTAGTAAATATTTCTTTTTAATTAATAATAAAATAACTTACTATTATTATTATTATTCTTAAGATTCTTAAGGTCTATAAATCTATAGGAATGCCGAAAATAAGAGTAATAATTACTTATAGGAGTATATATTTATTAATTAAGCTATGTTTTATTATTAGATTAGTTAGTAAAAAATTTATTAAAAATTAATATATTAACTTATGAATACCCTCTAATTATATATTTAATAGTATATGTACGGAGATCCTCGATATTCTCTTATATAGGATTTAGTATCTTCTTTAAGTAGCCTTTCTTAAAAAGAGAAGCTTGCTTATCGAGTGGTCTTAATTCGAAATCGGGGTAATTTTGACTTATATTAAGCTTGATTAAGGAGTCTTGAGACATTTTCGAGTATATTAAGTATATATAAGGATATATATAGTATAAAGTAATATAATAAGAGTAATAGTTAATTTTTTATAAGTAATTAAAGTATAAGAAAGAAGTGAAATCGAGAAAAACGACGTATTCTTATAGAAAGTTCTAATATTCTAAAGTCTGCTTTATAATTCTTCTAATTATAAAGGTTTGCTTGAGTTTAAAAGTCTGTCGTCTTCGAAGTCTTGTTCGTAACTTTTCACAACAGACTGAAGAAATTTGGAAGCGAGGAAAGGGAGGAAAGGAAACTCGAAGCGGCGATCTTTGCGGGAGCCTTTGTAGAATAGTTTGGTCGATCTCTGGCGTAATGCGGAAGCTGGGTCGTCAATTCCCGTCGCGTCCACCTTCACGGAGGCTCCTCAGAAATGACTCGTAAGAAATTGTCATATTGTCGATCGATATGTTGTACATCGCTGAGTTGAGTCATGCCGTTTGTCCGGTTCGTCTAAACTCTTAAAGATAAACTTTTAAAGCCTTGAAGTAACCATATCAAGTGAGAAGCTTTGTAATATTTCCGGTCCATGCCTTGAGGATAAAAGAGACAATTAAGAGTGGGGTTGAGAACCCTCTAGAGTTTCTCAATAATTTCGTATATCTGTGTGCACATAGAGCGAAATAGTAAACACTTTTTAAGTCTTAATAAGCCGAATACAAGGGCAGTGAAAGAAGCTCACATCTATGGCTAACTTTAGAGGAGTAAAGTACTTCAAGATATTCCTTTCCTCGCAAGATTGGCCACCTCTATTAGATAGAAAAGCATCTTAAAGGAGCAATGGTCCTGATTGATTTGGAAAACTACGTGATCGGTCACGTTATAGGCTCTGCAATGTAGCAGTATCAAGTTTTCAGGCAACAGCCTCTTCCCAGACTGCGGGAAGAAATAACCAGACTCATTGGTATGCCCATTAAAAACATCAGGACGCCATAGAATACAGTTTCTGAAGGGAAGAATATCAAGCTCCATGGCTGACGGGACGGATGAATTTATTAGAAGGTGAGTAAAAGTAAGACGACGGTGGACAGGGTGAGCAATAGTGAGCAAGGCCCGTCGATCGAGCCAGAGGACCTATTTCGACTCCCTGCAAGAGATGAACGATGGGAAAGGTTGGTGTGCGACCACAAGGGCGTTTATGCAGACGATTGTATCATCGATCGAATTACGAAAGCACAAAATTTTCATCGTAGCGACAAATGATCGCGACCTTAAGCGGAGAGTGCGGAAGGTTCCTGGAGTTCCAATGGTGAGTGTAGCGAGAGGCAAATACATTATTGAGAGATTGCCAGATGCGCCTGAGAAGTAGAGCTCGAGGTTATGGGTTCTGGGCGTCAGGCAGAGAAAGGTGTATCATATACGGCGTCGGCGTTGGGGTTTTCGAATTCGAGTATCTGCAGTCTCGCTCTCAAATCCTCAATCTGTTTTAGAAATAGCAATTAGGGTTTTGGGAACCTTTCAAAAGGAATTTTAGCATTTTGCATTGCACGCTAGGCCAAAGAGTCTCTCGGTGGTCAGTGTTTCTCCTAAAGGACTCTCAGGCATTCGAATTCGCAATCATTGTGGTTATGAAAGTTTCCTATCGATGTACCTTAGAGTAGCTGAAAATTACACTGGCTATTATACTCAGACTGGCCGGACTGGACCGCCCTACAGTCCTCATTTTCTTCCACGGTCCTACAGCGGCTTGGCTACAATCTCTTGGTTGAGTGGATGGTCAAATAAAGTCCCAAGACGTTGGTGCTCGAGGAACGCCGGCTCCTTAGCTCTTGTATTACAAGTTATAGTATTCTAGGTTTCAGTTTGAAAGTTTAACATGCTCTGATTTCTAGTAGACCGAATCTGCGTACAAAAGGACGGAGTACTCCGTCCTGTAGTAGGAATAATGCACGTACATCGCCCTGAACTACGCTAAAACATAATACATTAAAAGGTCACTCCGAGGTCTACTCTTACAAACCAGTGTGCTCGTAGCTGTAGGGCTATAACGTACTCTACTTCGGGGTTCAAAAACGGGCCCCTGCACAAGATCAAGGCATGAAAAGATTATAAGAGAGGAAATAGGCAGCAGTGGGGGACATATCCGTCCTTTCAAGGGGGGCCCAAAAAGGTTCCCACACCCTAAGCTAGGGGGGGAGGGGTCCTGTTTCCTGGAAGCCGACTACGTCCCCTTGAACGTTGTCGTATAGAGTTGACAACTTTCGCACGGCAGAATCAAATGGTAAGTAAATTATAATTGGTTACTAGAAGAGAGAGCAGGAACGCGACTGAGCAACCTAAGCAGTGGGTGAGGCGAGGGTGAGTAGGGCTTGAGCAGAGCGGCGACGCTGACTAACTGGGTTTCAAATGAATATAAAGAATTATCGTCTGAGATTACCGATGTAATCTATGCCGAAACTGGACCTCTCTAAGGTCCACTTCCGTCTTTGGACCTGAGTAGCCGCTGCTCTAACCTGAGCCGAGCCCTGAGCCCTGGGCACGCTAATGACTCAGCTACACCATGCTTAAGGGATCTTCTTCAGGCCCCCTTAAGAGTCGGTTATAGTTTCTATATTATCTATAAAAATTTCGCTAATGCCTGTTACCTAGAACACAGCCACCTCTTTGAACCTATTAAGATGCCGTGACGGTATCCGTTCCCGCTCCCCTATCAAACTTATCAAGGGTCCTTGGAGCCGATTTCGATCCCCTCCCAGTCACATGTGCCCCCGGGAGAGGGGTTTATCCAGCCGGGAGTAAGCGCAAGTCGAAGGGGCGGGTGTTTTATCAATTCTGAGCCAACTAACAATTGCGCCACAGTGTGGCAGGACCAATTAACCCCATTACCAGATATAAATGACCTGACTAGAACCCTCCCCTGAATTCAGGTTCTCCTCCTCTTTCCTAGCCCCAGCGGTTGTTTCGAAGACCCATCCGGGAACCTTTCTCCCACTGCCCCCCCATAACACCGGTCGTCGTTCCATCTGCCCATCGCACAAAATACAGCAATCATATCTTCGCTCCGCAGCATGAAGATGGCATTCACCCACCACTTTATAATTTCCCTCAGGTTTGGTAGGATCGCTCCTCAACACCATAAGAACGTCAGCCCCATCCAACTGCCACACTTCATCACCCTCTTCAATATTTTCCGGCCCAAAGCCTAATGAATACTCCGTGCCAAAGAGGCGTCTTCCGTGCCCGTACTCGCGGAAGTGTTGCCGGAAGGATGAGAGTTCTTCCTCGCAATAATGCCAACATTCGGGAAGCGGTTGTAACTTCGAGTTCGTGCGGGAACGCATCATGTTTAAATCTTCGGTCTCTCTGATAACCTTCCTTCTCTTCGCATTCTGAGTGAGGCACATACAAGCCATATTTCTCTGCCGTACCCCGAAACCGAGCTCCTTAGGAGTAACAGTTCGGAATGCAGGGCTTGCTATTTTTAACGTCTGCCAGAAAATCGAATCCATGCGCCAGCAGTTGTTGCAGAAAGCTCCAAATGCTGCGGGGATATCGAGCAAGAGAGTTTGATTGCGAGGCTCTTGAGAGTCGGTCTGGTGGGGTTTCTTTGAGAGGAGTCTGAGATTGTCCCAAAATGACTGGCGCCCAACACATAATCGATTTCCTATGACGGGCGAGGGTTTGAATAACCAATGGTGCGGCTGATCGTCAAGATAGATTAGCGACTTGAAATCATTACGTCGTCGATGGTGTTGCGTGTCGTGGAGGTCGCTTGGATACTTATAGATATCTTGTCGTCGTGTGTGGTCAAGAGCACGTGGCTCTGGCTCTGGTTCTGGCTCTGTATCTGGAGACGTTCGGAAAATCGTTTCATCTGGCCATACATTTCCCAGCCTTCTACCGGTAACTCTTAGCTTCTTCTGCCGCGAAGAAGGGATGGCATCTTCATCGGACAACACTACTGGTGTTAAGTTAATCGACGAGCTCTTGGGAACAACAGGCGGCAGCATTTTCAATCCCGCCAACGTCCAATCAGGCACCCAAGACGCCATATCAAGTTTTGATTCGCCATGTACATGAGAGAGAACTCGCAATGATCCTGTCTTTATAATGTGCCACGCTGCCGCTTGAAGATATACCGAGCCAACTAATATGCCGGGCGAGTAGTCAATGGGTATGGGTGGAGTAGAGCCTTCCTGTACGAGACCCATGACGGCGTAGATTTTGTCACGGGGGTCCTTGCAGGCGCAACTTCGTGATATTTGCAACATCGATAGAAGGTCAAACTTCTGCGGTTGTAGTGTAATTAGTATCTGTCACGTCATTTAACACGCCGATAAGATGCTAAGAAAATAAACTTACCGTAGTTAATTGCCCGGCTTTCAACTTAAGTATTTGCATTCCGTAGTTTAAAACGGGTGGCAGGAATATCTGTCGAGCACTTTCACTGACCAGTCTTTGAAAGAGCTTGACATATATTACAAAGTCGTTCCAAGTAATAGTTAAAGAACCGCAGGTGAGCAGAAGTTCATTTGCCACAGCAATTTCTTGCAAAACCCAGACTCGATAAAACCATCGACTTTGGAATAGTAGGAGGAAATCTGAAGAGTCAGGTAGTGTCCCAGCTTGGTCTATGGACATGTACTCTAAAAGTCGATGAACCTTGGTATCTCCTTCCCCTAGATAAATGAGTACCCGCTGGGCACTTCGAAAGGTGGCAATCATATTTTTAACCTGGTGATTTCTCTCACGGAAATCTGATTGATTGATGCATATCGAGTCAACCCAGAGGCGCCGCTCTGTGTCGACTTTCCGCATACGTCGAAGAGCCGCTTCACAATTCTTCGTGATACGGATGACTTTGCCATTTGGTCCACAGCGTATTTTCTGTGAACTCGTGTCATCTCCAGTTTGATCGGCCCAAGTATATGACAATGCATCATAAAGCGGACCTTGCTGCAGATTGGCATGTTCAAGATCGCAATGAAGATCGTCTTCGAACCTGCCGGGTCCTAATACCAAGATTCTTAGCTGTCGACCTTGCTCGAGGTCCAGCGGGAGGTAATGATAATCCGTAGGTGTCGCAACAATCTCGACCCGGGCAAAAGTATCGTCCGCTCTTGGCTGTCTCTGTTGAGACTGGTACATGTCCTCAAATGCACTTTCGAGTCTCCAGACATCGGTAGATGTTATGCAGAATCCGCAGCTCATGCAAAATTGGAACTCTGCATGTTTTTGCCAGTCTACCATGGCGCAGTATCTCGAAGGTATGAGCTCCATGTTCAAGTAGAAATCGTGATTTCTATGAGGACGGTTTTGCTCCGTTTGCTCCTTACGGAACTTGGTGTCTGTACAGCTTCTAGGCCAGTAGATTTCAGTGTCGTGTCTGAACGCAGATCCTTGCTTTACATCATGTTGAATGTCGACTTTATATAAGTTTGGAGCCTGGGTTCGAACTTGCGTATTATGGATGGAAAAGTATGAGCACGAATTTAGTGGGAAGACATACGGCTCTTATTAACCATGCAGGTTCGAGTCTTGGGTGGGGCGGCGTAAACACGCCTTTGAGGCTGCGATTCATGCACTGCCTCCACCACCAAAGCCTGATTAAGAGAGAGCCTTGTAGTAGTACGAAGGTACTTGGATTCGCTAAGTTTCTCCATTTTAGGCACTTAATTGCTTCTCGCAGCAAGCCAAGCGAGTAAAGAGAAGTACTCCGGCTCCCGTAAGGCAAGAAGACAGAAATTAGCTAGTTTATTGTAGTAGAAATTCACGTGATAGTTAGACCACGTGATTCTACCGATGCGCGTTCCGGCCAACTTGCACTTTGCTCCTCAAATCAATTCTAGCATTCTTCCCTCTATATTGAGATGGTTGTATTAGCGCTTCGTTCCCTATTTTATTATATACAAAATTCGAGTCTTAATAAAGTCTTAGTAGAGTATTAGTAAAATATTACATAGGCTGGTGATCTTCCATTATGGGCTTGTCTTTGGTCACGTGACCCACTTCACGTGACTTGGCGCATGTGACTTAGCCCCCCTGCCTCTGATGCTGCCTTGCCTCGTGCCCGAGGCTTATTATGTAATAGCCGGGGGTCGTACGCTAGGCTCAAAAAGCTATGTTTTTGTGCTAAGACTTTACCAAGTAGTAGTAGTAGTAGTAGTAGTATTGATTTACGTCCAGCGGGTACAGTGAAACTGTGACCTCCCGAAGGGTATTGGGACGAGCTAAGCTAAGGATTTAATATAAAGTCCTGCCAAGAGGAGGTGCCAAAACCACAGGGGGGAAAAGACCTCCCTTCTCCTGACAGCCCCGGGTCCCTTATTCCGCGGTATTCCAGTGCTCTTATAAACCTCAGAAAGCAGTACATGCTGTAATAGCGTATAGCCATAAGACCTTGCGAGGGCTAACCTTCCCTGACAGAGGGGATGACGCCCCTTTTGTTTGCCTATCCGTAGAGCTTATCCCCAGGCCCTTTAGAGCACGAGTTCAGGTGACCCAACGCGAGTTAAAGGCCTCCTTGACAACTCCCGCAATAGAGCAAGAGGCTCGTTTTCCACGGCGGCGTGTAGGCGCGTGCGGAGGCGCGATATCGACCTCCTCCCCTAATCCCATACCCCCTTCCCCCTCTCGCCTTTCCCCCCCTCCTTATAACCACAAAGCGTCCTCGGGCGCGGAATCATCCTCCCTGCGGCTCCGCACGGTAAATCGCCGGTTCGAGACTCAAATAGTCGTTGTGATTCAGTCTTAGCCCAAGAGCATGAAAGCCCTTGGTTTCCAGCCTGCACTGCGAGGAAATGCTGAATCGTCGCAGGCCTAAGACTTTACCAAGAAAATGCGAAGACCTGATTTTGCCCACGTACTATCCTTTTTCTGCCTTATTACCTGGCGGCGGTAAGTTACTTCTCTTGCTCACTATGTCCGCTATAAGAAGCATAAACGTGTTTTGGAGTATTTACGTAATATGTTCAAGGCAGTAAGAGCTATTAAGTAGCATTATCTGCTTAAGTATTTGGTACTGTATATAATATATACTTTTTAAAATAAAAATATTTCTTATAAAATAAAGGTTCGGCTCTACTATAAGCGTTTGAATAGATCGGATATCTCCTTTACTAGAAACAGATTATCCTTCTCGTAAAACTCGCTAATACTATAATAGGTCGACGGGAGGTTGAACTATAAAAATGTACTTATTACGCCTATAAAACGCGAAGTGATTACTAGAAGCTGGCCGCAGTCTTCTTGAACTCATATCTAAGACGACGGCTGGTAGTGAGGTATGGTTCTTGATTCTTCCTTACAGCCGAGAACTTGTGTCCTGAGTAGAGGGTGAGGCGAGGGTGAGTAGCGCCTGAGCAGAGCGGCAATGGTGACTAACCGCGTGGGAAGGAAGGGAGGTTCAGATTCGATGAGATTACCACCAAAATCTCAGACGACAGTTTTAACCACCAAAGTCTACTTCCGTATTTGGACCTGAGCAGTCGCTGCTCTAACCTGAGCCGAGCCCTGAGTCCTAAGCACGCTAGTAAGTCAGCTGGATTTTGCTCAGGGTGTCCTTTTCCGGTCCCTCCGTATGAGGTGTTTATTGGTAGGCAATAAAACAATAGAATGAATCAGTAAGTTATAAAACCACAGTATCAAATTCAGTATAGAACTAATCTCTGTCCCTCCTGTAAGGTCCAGAGAAGCCTCCTCTAAATAGGAGGCCCCGATAATATATATACAATTAGTAATTTATAAGCCTAATACTTATAATATAAATAGTAGTTAATTATAATATTAAAGGGCCGCCGATTTCCCTAATTAATACCTATAATATCCGAGATTCGTTATATGCCCTTAAGTTATATATAATCCTATATATATTATAACTATATCTCTCTCCTAGGATCTTATCTCTAAGATCTATTAATCTATTCTAGTAAATAAATAAATAAATAATTATTTAATTAAGATAAACTTCTAATATCTTAAAAGGTAGTTTTACTAATATAATCTAGATAATAAATATAAAAATTGTCTAATTAGATTAGGGCTAAATAAGCGAGAAGAAAGAATAATTATATCCCAGATATAGAAGCTAGCTAGTAATTATAATTTCGTTTAGGATCTGAGTATTCTAATTAGCTTAATTCAAAGTACTAAAGTACTATTCTATAAAATTAATACTACTTATTAGATCTTATATTAGAATAATCTAAATAGCTATATAGAAAGAATTTAATAAAATATATCTAAGGTTCTAAAGATTATTTATAGGCTTCTTGAAGTATATATTAATTAGTTATACTAATTTCTAATTAGAACTAGTATAAAAACTAGTAGTTAATTTAGGTAGTTCTTTATTTTTATAAAAAAATCTCTTTATATTACTATATACTCTCTTTCTTTCCAATAACTATATATATAATAACTTCTTCTATTATTACCTTCTAGCCTCTTTTTCTATTCTTCTTTAAGTTTTCTTTAATTATTTTTAATTAATTCTATAATATCTTCTTCTGGTTTTATTATTTGTTTATATAATCTCAAATATAAAAGTAATCTTATAGTTTTCTTTTTTATTACTAGTAAATACTTGAAATATTTCAAGTATTTACTTATTAATTTCTTTATTTTATATATTATAGTATCTAGTAAAAAGAATTATAACTATTATAATAAGGGTTCTAAATCTTATATATTAGTAAGTTCTTTAGTTTTTGTAACGGTTCTCGTCACGTCACGTGCTCCGCACCTAATTAGGACTAGCTCGCTAAGCTACGCGCGTGCACTTTATACTTAAGCTCGGTTCTCTCCTTGAGGAACCTTCTTCTTTCCTTACCTTAGAATTCTCAATAAACGATTCCCCTCGCAAGCACTCTATTCATGAGCTCCCTTTACAGGTTCGTAACAGTTTTAATATCTATTAAAGCTAATATAATTTCAGATTTCTTGCTATTTATTAGAGGCTTACTAGTTCTAGAAAGATATTATTATAATTTTCAAGAAATTCCTTAAAATATATTCTAAATAATATTATACTAATATAAATAATATTATTAATTAGGTTTTTAAATACTAGAAGAATACTAATAAGCTTTGGAATTCTTCTTTTTATCTTAATAAGGCAAATAATAATACTATTTGAGTTAGTATTCTAAAGATAAGTTTTTTCTAATATATTTAGATATTTACTAATTCCTTAAAGAAATACTATAAAGTTTATTTTTAAGATATTAACCTTATTACTAAGATTACTATCGAGATTTTCAAGTAATCTATTACTAATACTTTAAATACTAATAATATAATACTTATAGCTATTTGGGATCTAATTTTAGAAGTTCGGGCTTTTTATAAAATATATATAATAGTTATAAAATCTTTATTTCTTTCTTTTAATATTCTTAATACTAATATTATTATAGTATAACTATATTTTATTAAGAAATAAACGAATTCCGGAAAGTATTATCTAATTCTTTACTAAATTCTAAATAGAGCCAGTATTTAGTATTCTCGCTTTAGAAATTAGGAATTTATAGAAATTAAAGTTTATTTATTTAAGATACTTATAGCTAATCTATTTATAATAAATCTTTTTCTAATAATTTAAATATAATTTTTATAAGCTTTAATAAAATTCTAGAAAACTTTTATAAGTAAAAAAATCTAGAAAAAAAATATCTCTATTATTATTTCAAGTTTTTTCTTAGTTATTTAGGTTTTCTTTTTCTTTTAAATAGCCTTTTTTTTAGTAGTTTAAAATTCTTTTTAACTTTAAAAGATTATTAAAAAGTAGTTTTGAATTTTAAATTATATTTTCAGTTATATAATTTTAGAAATTCTTTAAAAATTTTAAGATTAGGAAAAGTAAATAACTAAATATTATAATTTTTAGACTAGGCTTTTTATTTAATTAAAATACTATTACTTTTTACTTCTATTATCTTATTAGTAATTAATAATAGTTTCTATTTCCTATTTTTATTTTTTATTATTATTTACTAATTCCGGAAGTTCTCTAGAAAAATATAAATATAGCTTCTAATTCTTTTTTATTATATATTTTTTAAAAAAAGAAATATAGAAAGTTAGATATAAATAATTATATATATTTAGTAATTCTAACTTATATACCGAATTACTAATATATTTAAGAATTCTAAATAGACCTATAAATTTTGGTTTAAGCTTTTCTGTTTTAAGTTTAATATTTCTTATTAATAGTATTATCTAGGCTTTTTTGAAATAATATTTAACTAACTAATATTTATTATAATAGGCTTTCCGGTTAT